GCTGTTCTGACTCACAGACTGTAAGTAAGTTTTTTATATTTAAAGGATTTGCCACTGACGATTCTACTGTGAGTTTTATTCAAACGCAAGTTTTGGGCAGTGTAGAGTAGCGCTAGTTGTTTGTCATTTCTCCGATCACAAATGCAGACATGGTTTTATGTTTACGCGGCACGATGCAATGCGTAAAAAGACAGTATAAGTCATTATAATCCGTAATTATGTTTATGTTAAAGGGGTTTAATGTTTTGTTTTTGTCTCGTCGCTCCGGCCGGACAGGGCATCATCACAGTATGGTGAGGGGTGTAACATTTCCGTCACAGGCTTGAGGTATTCGGCCAATCACAACGCACTGGTAGCTGGCCAATCACAGCACACCTCGCTTTTTCAGACCGTTTCAGAAAGGCGGGGCATAAAGGAGAAACAATAATGTACAGTATGTGGAAAATAATGTGTTTTTTAACCTTAAACCACATAAACACATTTCATTACACCAAATACACAAAATAATGTTCTTTTTAGCAGCATCATATGACCCCTTTAAACTATGTACGGGCACTTAACATGTACTTTCTCAGACCTTCCAGCATTTGAGTGTTAACCACACCCATATGATTCTCCTTGTTTTGAGGCATTTAATAAAGCAATAAGCCCCGAGAAGCCGTGGTTTACAGTGAATTTATAACAGCTAAGAGGCATTTTTAGGCACGACGCAAAGCGGAATTTATAACAGCTCTTAGCTGTTATAAATTCACTGTAAACCACAGCTTCACGGGGCTTATTGCTTTTATAAAACACTCATTTCATATATGTAGTAAGGTTTCACAGAATAAAACAGCAAATAAAGTGTAATGATATTAATAAAAACATTATTCTTCCACCAAACAATGTAGTTCCTCAGAAACAGTTGTGGTTCCAACAAAGTGGTGCCGAACAACACTCAGAAGTAAACAAAGGTGTATGTTTGTATTGTAATTTACAACAGCTTCGAACACGGCTCAACCAATCAGAGTCAAGGACCGGAACTATCCGTTTTATAAAATGATTTAAAAAATTTATTTCAATCCATAAAACAATTAAAAATTAACAGTACCTTAAAACTCACTAAAACTTATGACAACATACTTGGATTGACCCCCCATTATTATTATTGTTGTTGTTGTTGTGTTTATTATATGCTGCTTGGATTTATTTTTAATGTGTTTAACAGTGGAATGATGACAATGCCTGTTTGTTATTTGAAGGTTTAATAAAGTAAAAAATAAAAGTGTTTGTGATTAAGGAGCCATATTACTTTCTTGTCTTATATAAAATGTTTTTAAAACTATATAAATAATAATAGCAAATAATAACAATAACAATTAATTGAATGTCAAAATGTCAGTATCAAATGAGTATGTATCATTTGCAAATTAAATTTCGTAAGTTCAGAAGCATTTATTATAAATATATAATTTTTATAGTAAATATATGTGGCCTTTTAACCTTTTAAACTATATTTTTTAGTGAACTGTTGTGTTTTAACTCTAGTAAGCAATAATTTGTAGAACTGAAACTACAAATAAGTACCTAGAATTTCCTTCACCATTTTATTTCTTTATGCTTTATTAAAACCATAAGTTTGAAAAGGTATGTTTTTCAGAAAAATCAAAATGGTGGAAAAATGCGGTTAACAAAATCAGTGTATAGATTCTTGTAGGGCTTGACTCAAGGGTTTAGAGAAGAAGAGAATTTTGACTCCAGCTCTAAAGTGTCCAACGTTATTAACTAAAATGCAAACATACTTATAGTGTCCTAGTGTGTGGGGGTGCCTGAATAATGAGGGGATTTGGAAGTATTCCACCAAGTTGGGGGTTTCCACACCTTATGGTCTCTGAAGTCCAGACATTTTTAGAGCATAAAGAAAATGCAATACAAATACAACAGTGTTCCTGCTCCATTATGAACATCTTATAACATCTTTAAAACAATATACATCTAAGCATCAACCATAAAATACTTTATTGTGACAGGTTACTTACATACTTTTACATAAATATCCTCTTCTTGTTTCTATAGCGTTCCAAAAATAAATAATCCATCAAAAAAAATAAAAAACTACAAGATATTACACAAAGATAGTGATAAAGGGAGTATAGGAAAATAATCAGTACCAAACAGGAGAGACTGAAAATATGCAGAGGATGAATGACTTCAATTTACTTTGGTAGAGAAACATTAAAGTTGAATATAATCTTTAACAATGGTGTCTCTCCTGACTGCACATTGTGTTTTAGAGATAAATTAATTTCATTTTATCAGTAAAAATGGATGACAGGCTATGTAGCTTTAATGAAAAAGAGCCAAAGTCCCTGAAAGATCTCAATTAAAATAACTCAAAAAGAACTAAAGCAAAATCTAAAATAGATCACTGGTGTATCAACAGTCAGGTTCAGGTCATGTATTAGATTAAGACAAACTTTATATAAAATGTACTGCAGCTTTGCATTGCTGTTTGCATAACACTGCATCAGTGATGTAAAAATCAAAAACTGAATTAATTTAAAGTGAACTTTCACAGGAATCAATATTCATGTCTCTGCATGATCTAGTTAGCTATACAGTATATTTGTATTAGTATGAGATGTTCAAACAGGCCAGTATGAACTATAAAAAAATGTAGATTGAGTTCTGCCACAGTATGCGTGATGAAAATCTTTGGGTGACAATATTCCCTTTTCAACATGGCAAAATACAAGTGTATATTACAATTTATACATAATACAAATGGCATACTGCTTTCCCCTGAGTGGCCATCTAATAGAGGATGAGGGGTTCAGGAGGATCCCCTGTCTAAAAGGGGGACTGTAAATTATGATAAGGGTCCTAAACTTCTAACAATCCTCTCTTTTTCAGTCTATAATATTACAGTTACCACTGCAACAGTGATTTTACTGATACTGTCCATATCCGCGTTTCTCTTGGCCTTCTTTTGGAGGAAGTTGACTCGGGTCCTCCACAAAAGGACTCGCTGTAGAGGAAGAGAAGATGCAGATAGTGAATGCCTCTAAAGCAGCTTCAACAAAACAAAGTGCAAAACAAAACTAAAGGTAATACAATTTTTACAATGTGATACATATATGTTTGGAGCCCTGCACAGAACATGTGGGGAAAAACAAGATATTGTAGCCTCAAATTATTAATTTGTTCTCTAATTTTAGATAAATGTGGCCACGTCAAACTATTTAGTTCTCATTTTATCATTTTAAGGTAAATTGTGACCATGTTGTACTAATTCGATTTCTTGTTTTTGGTAAATTGTTGCCACGTACTAATTTGTTTTCGGTCAATTGTTGCCACACTGTACTAATATTTGTTCTCTCGTTTTTGGTAAATGGTTGCCACACTGTACTAATTTCTTTTCTCATTTTAGGTAAACCACGGTCACATTACTAATTCATTTGCTTGTTTTAGGCCACATTGTATTGATTTTTTGGACTTTGGTAAATTGTCATGCTGTAATAATTAGTTTCCTTGTTTTATGTAAATTGTGGCCACGTTGTACTAGTTAATTCAAGGCCACGATCTATTTTTTCTTCTGCATGTCATGCATGGATAGTTCACCTAAAACTAAACACATCTCTTTATATTGTTTGAAACCTAATTCATTTCCTTTTTGTCAAAGAAAATAGGAATGAGTTTTAGACATTCTTTGTATTTCCCAAAAAAAGAAAAATCATAGAAATTTCGAGCAAAACTAATTTGCATTGTTGTGTGAACAGTTCCTATCAAGTTAATCAACTCTCCGAATCATCCAAACCATGACAAATGTAACTCACGATTCTGAAACTGCTGTGCTGTGTATCTTGTAAGAAGTATCCCAAACCCCTCGATCAGGGCAAGCAGGATCCCCCCCATCATTGCAGAGCCCACCATGGCTAGCGGACCACCTGAAAAACAAACAAAGCAAATGATTCATGCCTTTTCAGTCTGCAAAATCATGATCCAATTGTAATTTGAAGACCAAAGATTAATGCTGCATATACTAATACATAATACTACAGATCATCAGATGATTATTTCCAGTAGGTTGTTATAACTCCAGTGTCTAAATTTTTGGCCTAATTTGTAGTCTGGACAAGTCAATGCTACAATAGTTGCCGAAAGTCAGTCTGCAGATTTGTGCCGATTAGTGTATGATGCTTTTCTCCGTAACTATTTACAAAGTTGACAAGATGACTGTATGAATAAAATCTGATAAATGCTGTGTTGTGTATTCCAGCCTTATTGTCTAACATTATGGAATAATACTGATAAAAGAACAATGACTATAATGCTAAATGCACTGCGAGCAGCCAGTATAGCTCCAGTCATGGCTCCACTGGTGATGGAGTTCCAAGGGTCTTCTTTACCCCGCAAACGCACAAGACCACAGTCTATGGTGGAAAAGAGGCCACCCCATACAGCAAAACTACCTGCAGGAGAAACAGAGCCATGCCACTATTGAAAGTGAATCACTGATATACAAAATGCCAAAACTGTTCATACGCAACAGTTTTATACAACACGATAAACAAACACAAGAAACGATTCTGCAACATCACCTCCAATTTGTGGTGCTCTTACTCTCACAGCATTTGCGCTCCCCCTAAGCCTGTGTCGAACCCCCTGTAGTAACAGAGCGTTTATTATTAGTAAATGTATAGGAATGTGTATTAGTAATAGTAATAAATAAGCTCAGTTGTTTTGTTGGTGACAGTGAAGCTTACCACAGGTGCGTTTCGAAAGCCTTTAACAGACTGGAACACCCCTCCTCCAATGGCCCCCATGGTAAATGCACCGCCACAGTCATCAACTATCCTCCATGGACTACAAAAATATGAAATAAAAGAGCTATATTTTTAAGTCATTATACCTATACGGCCTACTTTTCATATTTGATGCTTTACCTTCTAAGACCTCGAAATGATCAAAACTTTGCTGAAAAACCTGTTGTACACAACCTACTACATGCCTTACTATATCAAAGTGTATATCGTTTAGCAAGTAAAAGGCCTTTTAGTATAATTTTTAAAACGTCCACCATCTGGTTCATGTGTCTTTTTGCTGTGAAATGTAAGAATAACTTCTACATTGTTAGTAATATTTCAAGATAAACACTTACTGGACTTAATCAAATTAGGTTTACTTGATTATCTTTACCGAATGTTTTTAGAAAAATCATGTTACAATTAATGAGCGAATATGATCCGTCAGACTTGTACATCTCTGGATCATCATCGTATAAGCCCCAATGATTAAAACTACAGGGCTTTGCCCAAAAACTAAGCATTTAAACGTCATCTTACTAAGATATATTGTTGGGAGATATAGAGTGGTAATTGATATTTATGCAAGTAGACTGCTTTAGCCTACTGTTATAAATATTTCACTGATTTACAAACCATCAGAATTTCATCTTACTTTTTGGCCATAAATATTAGTATCTGCAACAAATATGGTATATATATATATATATATATATATATATATATATATATATATATATATATATATATATATATATACGCCATATAAACCAAATATGATACAAAACATAAAACACAATTGCAAACATTTTTGAAGATTTTCTTTTATATTTTGTCTAATGGTTCAATAAACTTTTCTATTGAATTTAATTTTTTTCATTTTTCTGACTGTATTATTGTCATATGTCAAGCTTTACTGGGATAATTCTTTTAAACATGCCAGCTTGATAGTAAACAAGGAGTTCAAGCTGCCAGTGAAGTAACACGGAGAGTTTATTATGCCCCTTCACTTCTGAGCACTGCAGCGAGATGAGATCCCACATGATAACATGTTTATCAAACCCTCGCTGTAATAATATGTCAACAGTGTGTGACTGTAACAGCAGCTACTTTAGTGAATGACAGCGGAGAAATAAATCGACACCGTCACGAACGCAAAGGAGAACACAAACTGCTTCAAATAGCAACTGTTTCTGTCGCGAGCTGAAGTGCGGAGCGCTCAGAAGTGAAGAGAGCTTGTACTTTACCAGGGCTCACGCGCGTATTCCTCCATGATAACCTGCCGACCTCAGAGCGCCTGCGCAGATTCCCCGCGATGCGCCATATAAACCAAATATGATACAAAACATAAAACACAATTGCAAACATTTTTGAAGATTTTCTTTTATATTTTGTCTAATGGTTCAATAAACTTTTCTATTGAATTGAATTTTTTTCATTTTTCTGACTGTATTATTGTCATATGTCAAGCTTTACTGGGATAATTCTTTTAAACATGCCAGCTTGATAGTAAACAAGGAGTTCAGGCTGCCAGTGAAGTAACACGGCGAGTTTATTATGCCCCTTCACTTCTGAGCACTGCAGCGAGATGAGATCCCACATGATAACATGTTTATCAAACCCTCGCTGTAATAATATGTCAACAGTGTGTGACTGTAACAGCAGCTACTTTAGTAAGAACAGCGGAGAAATAAATCGACACCGTCACGAACGCAAAGGAGAACACAAACTGCTTCAAATAGCAACTGTTTCTGTCGCGAGCTGAAGTGCGGAGCGCTCAGAAGTGAAGAGAGCTTTATTCCTCCATGATAACCTGCCGACCTCAGAGCGCCTGCGCAGATTCCCCGCGACAGCAGCGTGCAGTGAGCCAGTGAAGCGTTAACTAATCGAGTTGTTTTGTTTTTATGTGATTTTTTTTATTGCAGTCTTTAGAACAACGAACATACAAGGGCGATAACATCAAAATAAATATAATAATAAACAAAGACAATAATAATAATAAAAAAAAAATCTCCATAACAAGTACAAATAGTTACAAATTATTCAAATAATAGATTTAAGGCTTTAAAATAATTTACAGTTTTATTTCTTGCTTTGTTATTTCTTGTTTCTTTTAATGAATACAGGTAGTCACCGGTTTCTATTTTAAAATGAGTGAAATTAGTTTTTTTTTCACTGCCTTGTAATATTAAAATACTAAATATTTTGTAAAATTATATATATTGTTTATTTGTTTATTTATACAGACAAAACACCACATATAAAAGCATACCCCTTGGTGTTCCTGGCCAATCAAAATAGGTAACGTACATTAAATGATAATTTAATAATTTCATAGAAAAGTAATGCATTGACAGTCGCTTAGCGATGATGTAGCGATGTCAACAGATGCAATGTTTATTTGTTTTATTTGCTCCATTGGACCGTTTTAACTGATGGACAACGATAAATAAATGACTTAGATATATAAGTTATCGTTGCATGTTACAATTGTATATAAATATCGTGTAGCTATAAATGACATTCTCTTTATTTGTGTTACAGTGCAAGTCATTGAGGGCCAAAAGCCAGTAGCTGCAGTTGTCAATGTTATCCGCGCGAGGGCGAAGCTGTACGACCGTGTTGCAACTTGTGAAGAAAGTTTTGGTCGCCCTTGTAGCGCATAATGTCGGGGGATCCTGTTCTTTAGCTGTCAGTTGAATTGTGCGCGTGTAATCTGCGTGAAATCATGCTGCGCGTCCTGACCAGAACTGCGGTAAGTGATGAGTATCATAATGCACCTATAATATACAAACGCAGTGACTTCAGCAGTTAATTGAACGCCTGCCAAATGATATGCACCAATAGTAGCCGTAACGCCCCATGATTAGCTTTTGACGTGCTGCTCGTTTTTTATTCTTAATTGCTCGCTGATCTGAAGCATTGTATGCATTCGTTGTGCATCATTTCGACTGTTGTTACGATCGTCTAAAACAACGATTGAGTATTGACATGTTGAGATGACCCACTTAATTACAGGACAAAGCAGCTACAAGACACACGGGTGCCAGTGCATGCACTTTGACAACGAGACAGAACACCGATCAATATTTACCGCGTCGTGCAAATTCAAACAAGTTCAGTTACATGTTTTAAGGTCGATCAGTTTTTAGAAACACAGCAGAATGAAGCCTCCAGTATGTACAGTGTTGGAATAAACTGATTTTTTTTTATTAAGTGACCGTTTTATTTGCCATTTAACTGATTTTCAGGGAAATGTTTACCTTTTAGGAGGATATTTACATATACAACGCACAGTATACCTAAATTGAATGAATTATAGTAAATTGAACAATAACTCGTTTGGACACATGACCCTGACCTTGAAGAATATACATTATATATATATACCAGAAAAAAAGCTTTGTGTATTTAGTATTTTTTTTCATGTCATTACATTGTTTAGAGTATAAGAAAAAAATGGAAAAATGAAATTTTATTCATATGTTATGATATGTCCTCTGTAGAGGACACCATGCAGGACTACGTTTTTCTAAAATAAAATGACATGAATAGACATAAAACGGCAAAAACTATGGGATTTTTTTTAAAATTACCAATCAATTTTTAGGTTTCAGGATTTGTTTATACCAAACTTTGATTCTTAACTTTGTTATAGAAGATGATTTGATACCATTTTGCTTTATGGAATATGTGTGTAAAAATGTCATAAACTGGTTTTCCCATTAAACACAATGTTATCTATACACCGTATCTAATTTGCATATTAATGTGCTGTTGGGACAGCATGTTGACAAAAGAAGCGTAATAATGGGAGTAGTAATTGGCCAGATTTTCATAATAATATCTTATATTTCATAAGAATATTGATATATAATTTGTTTTACTAATCAATTGTTTTGTCTCCCAAAATTCATAATAAACATGCTTTTAGTCCTGGTGTCCTCTACAGTGGACATGTATGAAATGATGTCCTGTTTCATAACAGAAGTCATATTTTGATTTGAAACCCCATAATATTTTCCTGAGATGTTGATTTATGACAAACAATTTGAAAATGAATCAGATTTAAATTATAATTACAAAATATTATCATATTTCCACAAGGATGTACAATTTTATCACTAAATAATAAATAATTATAACTCCATTTCATCACTTATTTTTAATAATTTACTAATAATAACTTACGTTTATGGTATCCAAAATACATTAGAATTATATTTTAATACCACTCATAAAATAGCGCTACTTCCTGATAGATATATCACTGAAACACGTGTGTTGAGAAATCACATACACAACTAAAATCTGTAAACAGCAAATGAAAAAATGCCTGCGCCTGCGCATGCTGTGTCAATCATTTTGCATGCTATGTTGCTGACATGTCTGTGGAGGCGGGGCTTTGGAGAGACGAGTTGTGGTAAAAAATGGGATGCTGTACTAATAATAGTAATAATATACTACTAATTCCAGAGGTGGACAGTAGTTAAGTATTTTTACTCTGCTTTAAAATTACATTTTTCAATTGTCTGTACTTTATCAGTGTTTTTTTTTTAGAAAACTTTTACTTCACAACATTCCAAAGCATAATATTGTACTTTTTACTGCACTATGTTTCAAATTACATATAATTTAATACTTAATTACATTAGGAATCTAGTACTTTCTTACTTTTACTCAAGTAAAAGTAATTCAAAGTTTTACTTGAGTACAAGAAAGTACTACATTTTTAATGTTCTTAAGTATTAAAGGGGTCATATGATGCGATTTCAAGTTTTACTTTCTCTTTGGAGTGTTACAAGCTCTTGGTGCATAAAGAAGATCTGTAAAGTTGCAAAGACTAAAGTCTCAAATCCAAAGAGATATTCATTATAAATGTTAAGAGTCAGCCACGCCTACCTAAAACGGCTCGTTCTAACACGCCCCCACATGTCTACGTCACTATGTGGAAATATTAGCATAATGCCGCCCAAATGTGCAGCAAAGAAAGAAGGCGTAGTTTCAGGAACAGCAGTGGTGTTGATGCAGTCATGTCAGGGAGACGATGTGTTTCAGTGCGAAAGCAAAAGCACTTTATTTGGCCTTCCGGAAGTAGATGCAATTAGGAATCATTGGTTAAGATTTATTTACAACAGAACAGCACAACCCAGATGTTCGAATTTGTGCAACGCATTTTATGGACGACAGTTTTTTGAACCTAGAAGAGTACAAGGCTGGCTGTGTTCTAAAAAAAACAAAAAGGTCAATTCCGACTTTGCTATGACAATCTGGCGCTTCTGAAAAAGTAAAAGTTTTCCAAAGAAAAACACTCTGATAAACTACAGATACTTTTTTAATTTACTTGAGTAAAGTAAAAATACTTCACTAATCACTACTGTGCACCTATGACCAATTCAAAGTTTATTTTTAAGTACACGGTACTTTTATTTTGCATGTGTATTAAACTTTATACTACTACAAATATTCCAATGACTCCCCCCATCATTGTATGATGCAGCTCTCTGACTGGTGGATGCAGTCGGCCTACCTGGACTCTCGAATGCCTGTGGCGATGTACACAAGCCCAGGGGTCGTTTTACCCAAAATGCACTTCCAAGACCGTCAGGGACAAATGAGGTGGGTGACAATGGTTACTTTTATTTTGGGCAATGAGATGTCACTGAGCAAATTTAAGTATTGAATGTGTGTGTGTGTGTGTGTGTGTGAAATATGTAACTATTTAAAACACATTTTAAATACACTACAGTTGTAGAATACACTACCAAAAGTTTGGGGTCAGTAAGGTAAAATAATCAATTAATACTTTAAATCACCAAGGATGCATTAAACTGATCAGTGATAGTAAAGAATTTTACGTTGTACCATAACATTTTAATTTCAAATAAATGCTGTTCCTTTGAACTTTCTATTCATCACAAAATCCTGATAAAAATGTATCACAGTTTCTATAAAAAAATATTAAGCAGCACGACTGTTTTTAATGTTGATAAAAATAAGAAATGTTTCTTGAGCAGCAAATCAGCATATTAGAATGATTTCTGAAGGATCGTGTGACTCTGAAGACTTGAGTAATGATAATGAAAATTCAGCTTTGCATCACAGGTGTAAATTAAAACTTAATATATATAATAGAAAATAGTTATTTTAATATTGCTCTTTTTTATTTTTTTTTAAATCAAATAACAGCAGTCTTACTGAGCATAAGAGTATGCAAGCTTGTTGAAAAAATCAATAAAAAAGGTGTTTGCATCAGCTCCGAAAGCCTTGATGCCTCTGTGGCATCCCAAGTTTGAATCCTGACTCGAGGATCTTT